TCAAACTTTAAAAAAACCTTTTGTTCCTTAAATAACCCATCTCAAGAAAGCTGCGTGGAGGAGAAGCTCCTCTTAGGTATTATTGTAAAGCATATTGCAAGCTGATAAGAAAGAGACAGAGATCAGCAATTGTGAACAGAGAAACACACGTGCGAACACACTCATTGCATATATTATCCCAAAGATAGATAGATAGATGAATAGTATACATACACACATACTCACAAACATAAACAAACATAAGAGCTGTTACAACAAAATCATGGAATCACTATATCTTAGGGCACATCCAGACAGCCCCTTTATTGTGGAAACTTATACAATAAAAAGGGGGCTGTCCAAATGACGTTCTGGGCAACCCGGAATTAATTCACCACAAACCAAATTAATTTGATAGTGGGTTTATTCCACGTCTTCTTGGAAGGCACAGGATAAACCCACTAGTTCCAGTGTCTGGACTGCAGAATACTGCAGTTCAAACAGTATTCCCACAGTTTTCTGGGCTAAATTAGCACAGAAAACTGGGAATACCCATACCTCCCCCAAAGTCCTAAAAAAGCACTTTTAAAAAGTAATTACCGGCTTCCATTAGAGAGCTTCTGCAGCTCTCCTGACGCATAGAAATGACATGCCAGGATTGGCCGGGGGAGAGGGGGGGGAGGAGGAGGAAAATCACTACTCCCCCCCCCCTTTCTCCTGGCACATCATTCCTACATGCCAGGAGAGATGTGGCAGCTCTGAAATGGACAATAGACCGAAAGGATTCCCCAAAGTACAAAGGCAAGAGGCCAGTATAAACAAAAATATAATACAATAATATAAGCCATAAGAATGTTTTTCATATATATGCTATAGTCATAGAACATTCAATGTACAAACAAAGCTTGTTGAAATTCAAAGTATACTCAACAATGACTCAAAATACAAGTCTCTTAACCAAAATCTTCCTTATATGGGAAAATCAGATGATTCCTAAAACAGAATCCAAAGGAATATGACCAATGTATTACAAACAAACATACTCAAAGAAGTAATCTCTCTAATAATCAAGGTTAGTGAGTCCAATATTATACAAAGTTCATGTTCCACGTGGAGGACTATGTAAATACTTCTTTGAGTATATTTGTTTGTAATATATTAGACAAGACTTCGACCTGTGACCAGG